TGCAGGTACTATGATTAGTCTGAAACAGGAACAACTCCAGAACTTCTGTGAACCTTGACATTACTATTCCCTGCCTTTCATCCTCAATCTGTACACTTAAGCCATTCCATTACTCTCTCTGCTTAAGGAGATTAGAAGGGATCACTATGCTATTATTATGTTCCCCAAAAATCTGAGACAAACCAATGAATGAGAAGTATGAGCTCTGAGTCCCATGTGTAAGCGGCACATGCACACGCATGCACATGCATGTTGTTGATTTTGGTAATGGTCAAGCTGAAGGCACAGGGACCATGGGACTCATTCCATATTCCTGCTGTTTTATCTTAAACTGATCATCTGATTTCACTGTGGCTTTATTCTCCACTTGCCAATACAGACAGTAAGAGAAACACCCAGGAAAACAAACATGCTTAAGCTGTAGTTTTCTGAGGCACGACCCAGTCATCTCAGTGTCAAGATGAAAATTGTCTCAGGATGTTATTAACTTTCATATATCTTGGCAATCTGATGACTAGATTTGTTATTCACATTTTAAAGTTGTTTATGTTCCACCAAGTAATAAGCTTGGAAACTGGGTTAGATTCCAATATTTGTAAATTCCAGTAAAAACCTCTTTAATTTGATAAACAACTGACAAAAGAGGGCTGGAGAGACAGTGCATGGTATAAGGCACTTGCCTTACATGTAGCCAACCCTGGCTCAAGCCGTAGCACCACATATGGTCCCTGAGCACACCAGCAGTGACCCTTGAGCACAGAGCCAGGGGTAATTCCTGAAGCCACTGGGTGTGGCCCACTCCCGATGACAAAAAATTGAATCATATACTTAATAATTTAGCATAAATGCAAAGTGTTTAGAATCATCTAGTGACATTGAAATGTATGGAGTATAGAAAATGAATGTTTAAGAGAGTTGGAGAGATAGTTTAGTGAGTAGGATGTTTACTTTGCACATAACCCACCAGGGTTTAATCCCTAGTACCCCATTTGGTGCCCTCAAACCCTACCAGGAATGATCCCTGAGTGAAGAATCAGGAGAAAACTTTGAGCACTTCTGGTGTGGCTCTCACACCAAAAGAAAGAAACAAATAAAAATAGAAGAAAATATGCCAAGGAGAATGTTTGCAAATTGCAATAGCCATAGAAATTAACAGAAATTTATCCACTACCATTTCCTTTCTGCCTCTGAATATTTCATACATCTACTAAAATAAACATACCAGAAGAAACATTCTATTACCAATGGCTGTTATGAATTTTGCCAAATGTGTCATCTAATATTGCATGTCACTTTATTATACAACCGAGCAAGTAAGAACATATTTTAAAAAACAGTTTTGGAGTGAGCAATCAATGTTAACTTGGATCCTAATGTGTTTTTCTGAATGATTATAAATAGAACAACTTACTGCAGGAAATGTTTTTCTCTAAGATTATGGATTAAAAGCTGGCAACAGTTTAACAAGATCATCATATCCATGCATAAGTAAAAATGTGGGCATTTACTGTCAGGAAAAGTAGTTTGTTGGTTTTTGGAATATTTTTCTTATCTCACAATTTATAAAGCTATGTTTATGGAAGAATAATAAAGATAGGTTGAGGATGAATATCGTTTTAAGGTGGGGGGGAAGACAATGTGAAAGACATAGTGTTCATTTATTTATCAAATATATTTAACCAACCAAGAATATATTTGTATAAATTATAAGGTACTTTAAAAATAGTTTTATAGGCATATAGAGTTATGTAATTTTAGACAAACTTATAATTAAATATCTACATACTACATATATTATGACAAACACATAGTCTAATGTCTATCACCATTAATTGCTCCTTTCCACTCCTTTAAAAAATATCTTTTCAGATTTACAGTTTTGAAGGCAGAAAGCACTTTGTGTGGCCTCTGTGCTTCATATGTATTTATATACATTTGAAGATTTGGGGGTCCCACCTGACTGTGCTCAGGACCTATTCCTGCCTCTGTGCTCAGGGGTCACTCCTGGTGGAGGCTGGGTGACCAGGGATGGTGCTGATTTTAGCATGGAGTAGACAGCATGCAAGACAAGTGCCTAAACCATGTATTATTTCTCTGGCCCACTTTTATCTTAGAACAAGTTTTAATGTTTTCCTCTTGGAACAAATACAATATACAGAGTACATTTTTGTGTAATGTGAATGGTTGAAGTACATTTTAATACTTTTAATTAACAAATGATTTCAGGCCCACTTGCTGGCTATGTTGTTCCTTTTGCAGTAATCTGAAATATCTTCTTGGATATAACTAATTTCAAACATCTGCGGAACTCTGTGAGCCTGCTCTTTTAATTATACCTTTTCAGTCTTGTATTTGGGCATTGAGTTCAGTCATCTGTTATGTCATTAAATATTTATTAAAGAAATACGTTATGTGACATTAAAGAAGGTCATGCCCAGACTAATGATAGAAGTCTGTAAAGAATTGTAGATCATCCATTTGTGAAATGTGTGGACTTGAGAATCATATGAGATTAAAAAAAAAAGCTTTTTAATGCTACAAAGATCAGTCACAAGCTTGTCCATTTTCTTACTTCATTTGCTAAAAACAAGTTCCCAAGAGTAAGACCACTGAAATTCTGTGCAGAAAAGACTTTGAGAGAATTTAAATGTATAACTTGGAATACTTGCATTATTTTAGAATAGATAAAGCACTACTTTAAATAGTCAAGATCTGGGAAGAGTCCGGTTGTCCACCAAATATATTTAAAAATTGTGGTACTGGGGCTGTCAAGAAAGTACAATGGGTAGGACACTTGCCTTGCACTCAGCTGACCAGGTTCAAGCTCTGAAATCTCATATGGTCCCTGAGCAAGTTTGGTGTACTTCCTAAGTACAGAGCCAGGAGTAACCTTTGAACATGGCTGGATGTGGCCACCAAAACAAAACAAAACAAAAAGAAATTGTGATATAGACAAACATCATCTATGAGAAAAGATGGAATCTGGGCATGTCATGTTAAATGAAGTGAGTCAGAGGGAAAAAGATCATTTTTTTGTTAGTTTGTGGAGTATAAAGAAACAAAGTAAGGAATGTAAGGAAAGTAAGATTGAAACAAATCTTGAGAAACATAACTGAGGACTGAAGGGCGGGAGACAATTGCTTTTCTGGTACACAGCCTAAGGAGGGATTCAATCCCCTGCGCCACAAACGGTCTCCCCAACCCTGCCAGGAGCAATCCCTGGGCATAAAGCCAGGAGTAAGATCGAAACACCTACAAAAATGTGGCCCCTACACAGAAACAAAATGAAACTGAGAACTGCCAAAGGGATGGGGGAAAAATTTGTGGGAGGATATTTACTCTGGTGAGTGTGGTAAAAAGTAAACATAAAACAATAAAAGCAATACTATTGCACATCATTAGTTATCAATACATTTTAAAATAGGAAAAATAATTATTTTACAAAATGCAGAAAATAATTTCTGGGGCTCACATTGGGTTTCCTTTTCATTCCTATCAGTGACATGCATATTCTGCGTAATTTTCTTTCTCTAGATAGAATTAAGGTTCACTCTTTAACTCCGTTGGTTAAGGATTACTGAGGTCTGACTTTCTTACAGTCTCTTAGACCACCACATTTAAATTGGGAATCCAGGTCTTAGAGCAATAGTATTATGGGTAACATGCTGGTCTTGTGACCACCACCATGCTGAGACCACTCTCCGCACACATGAAGGTACTGGCAGAGGGACAAATCCACGCGGGTTCCGGGGCCGAGATCTCCAAGCCTACTCGGATTGGAGTCGAGCATCCTCCACCCAGATCCTCCAAATTCCAGTAGGCGGGGGTCACACCCACCACCTGGCCCCCTGGCGCCGTGTAATCCCATCAACGGCCAAGACTCAGAGACTATAAAATCCAGCTCCCGGAACCACGCGGCTGCGAATCAGGACATCTTTTTATGACATCTTATTATTTCATTCCTACTTTGGACAAACTTGCAGGCTATCGAATGTAGCCTGCCCACAGGGCAGAGTCTGACAAACTCCCCGTGGCATACCAAATACCTATGTTACTCAAAAATGTTAGGTGTCTTGGATCACATCTCATTCCATTTTCCTCTTATCTAAAATGGTTTTCTCTCATTCTGTTCCCTAGTTTCTGATATCAGTCTCAAAGGAAAATGTAAGTTTCTATGAGGCCAAATACCAGTAACAATAATGGGTCTCATTCTTCTAAAGAGCCTTGAATATAATCTCAGGGCTAGGATGAAAGAGACGTTACTGGGGCCTGCTCGAGGCAATCGACGAATAACAGGATGATGAAATGAAATGAAATGAAATGAAAAAATGCTGGTCTTGTATCTAGCTGACCCAGATTTGCTCCCTGGTGCCAAATATGGTCTCCTGAGCACCGAGTCAGAACTAAGCCTGGAGTGCAGCTAATTGTGGCACAAACATCAAACATACACAAACAACAACAACAACAAAAATCCCCAACATATCAAGGCAACCCATTTCTGTTCTTATTTCATACTCTCTCCCTTCACTGCTTTTTTCCCATATCAAGTACCACTATTTATCCCTCTCGCACTTCTGTTTGCACTGTAGCACTGTGCTCCCGTTGTTCATCGATTTGCTTGAGCGGGCCCAGTAACATCTCCATTGTGAGACTTGCTGTTACGGTATTTGGCATATCGAATACGTCACTGGTAGCTTGCCAGGCTTTGCTGTGCGGGCGAGATACTCTCCAGTAGCTTGCTGGGCTCTCCGAGAGGGGCGGAGGAATCGAACTCGGTTCGGCTGGGTTGTAAGGGCATATAAGGCAAACACCTACCTGCTGTGCGATTGCTCAAGCCCCTCACTCACTTAGTTCTGTTTATTCATAAATGCATCTCTAGCTCTTAGAACAGTGCTTTAAATGTGTTTGATACCTAATTTGCTAGTATTGTTATGGCCTAAACATGTCTTTATTCAATATATGTGTTTGGTAAATGACTTAAGGGGTTGAATTATACTTACAGTTTTCAGCCTCTTTCCCTCTGGAGATCCAGGAGTCGGTGGAGTTTTGGAAAGTCACACTGGAACTGCTGGCTAAAAGACAAAAAATTAGAATCCAACCTTTTGTTTTCTTCTGGGTTCAGGGCCATCCAGCAGTGTTCACGGACTAGTCTCATCCCTATGCTCATGAGTGACCCCTGGTGTTACTCAGGGACCTTATTCAGTGCTGGCGATCAAACCAGAGCGATCAGCCCAAGTGATTGCAAGCAAAGAAATTACCGTTATTTGTATTATTACTATTATTTGTAATAATACAGTTTTATCTCTCTGATCCCCAAATCCAACCTTTTCAAAAACTAAAATTTTAATTTAAATTTACTATGATAAGTTGAAGTTTTTTAGTGTTCTGTTTTTGTTTTGGGGCCACATTCAGTGTTGCCCAGGGGATAATGTGGAGCTGGGCTTTGAACCTGGGACTCCAATATGAAAAGAAGGCACTCAGCCTATTGAGCTATCTCTCGTCTGATGTGCTATATTTTCAGACTATGACTTTGGGAAAATCTGAAGCTGAAACAGTGCTTCCCTGCATGGAAACATGGGCCAGCTTATTTAATTTCTAAAATTTTAAAATACTAACTTGCCAAAGGTTTACTTTCTTTTTCTCTTCTTATTACAGATGCATGTCCCTAGGGATATTGTCGAGATTATTTTAATATTACTTTAAAATCTTATGACAAATGAAAGGTAAAGTATAATAAATTACTAGTCCTTATTTTTAGAATAATAGTGATTGTCACATCAGTTATAGTCACCACATTAAACCACCACAGAGATACTCAAAAGCAAAATATGACATTAAATGACAAAATAAAGCTTGTCCACAAAATTCAACAGCATTGTAGCTGCAGTAAATTTTTAGTGTGTTTCTTTTTTTGAATCATAGGAGGAAAGCTTTGCTATGCTTTGCTATACTTACTTTGAGGGGTGGTGGTTGGGCTGGATGTATTCACAGTTACAAAGACTGTTGAAGATGTATCTGGAAATCCTAATTTGAAAACAAATTTTCAAAATTGTTATAGGTATTTACACACATATTTTGAGTATGTATTTATACTTAACAAAGGCAGCACTCAGAGCATAGCATATTAGAGTTGGAAAGAATCCTTGAGAATGTATAGTCTGATGGTTTCATTTTATAAGTTATGGAAATGAGTCCTTCAGGTATAATCTTGAGGTTACATGTCCACTATTCAATATCATTCATTGATAGTAACCAAGTTGTCTTAAATCCAAGTACATTATATTCACATTTTCAAAATATATTGCTTCAGTGTCTGCAGTGTGCCAGAGTCTATTCACATAAATAGGGAAGACAAGGTTCTCATTCTCATAGAATCGATCATGTAGTGAACTTTTCATTGGTATATGCTTTACATACTAAATATTCTTATATATTTGCTGTTCTCCTTCTTTTCTTCCTCCTATCCTTCCACTTCACACCAGAAAAAGTAGAAAGACCTGTTCCTAATCTCATTTGAAAATATATCTGGGTATAAGATTGAGGATAATGCTAAGTCACACTCCTTTGAAAAGATGTTTATATCTCTTCGCAAAACTGCTTTTTTAATATTTTCATTTATGTATGTATGTGCATATAAATACACACATATATACATATGTATACATATATATTTTTTCTCTCTCTTTGTCCCCAGTTTTAAGTTTGTCTACATAAATAAACATTGCAAGAAGTAAATAGTATATAGAAGTATTTAGAAAATAAAAATAAGGGTAAATTGGTAGTAAAAGTATGTTGAATCCTGTTGCAACCTGAGTGGATAGAGAATTCATTTCTTGATGTAGCATATTCCTAGTATATTCTGAGCCCCACTCTTGGTTAGAACTTTCTAGTAACAATGCTAATTGCTTTCTAGTAACAATGAGTATATTTTGTGTTATTTCTGGATATCATATGATTAAAAATAGCTACTTTTCAAGAGAAACATAACTTTTTCTTTTACAGTGATTAAAAAGAAACTAGACTTCTATTGTTTTTAAAAGTATTACATAGTTAAAATTATATTCACAACCTTCTTACAGTCTGACAGCCAACATACTCATTCACCCGAAGCTTTAGCTAGTAGCAAATGATCTCCCAGATTCCTTCAAAGCTGGGTAAAGAAATACCTTAAAATGAAAATAGGAATAATCAAATCTATGAATAATGGAGAATACATAAATTGGCATTGTGGTTTATGTAGCTATAAGTAGTCAGCATGCAGAATGATCAGTTATTTTGTGATGAATCTTGACATTGAATACCAAAGACTATACATCACCCTTAAAATCAGATATGAGATGTTAGTGGCTGCTTTAGATGATGATGTATGAAAAATTAAAATAAACATTCAGTGTGAACATAGGAGAAAATATGTTTTAAGATCAGGATGCACAGTGAGTAGGGCACTTGCCTTGTTTATGACCAACCTAGGTTTGATCCCTGGCACCCCATATGTCCTCTAAGCCTTTCAGGAGTGATCCTTGAAAGAAGAGTCAAGAGTAAGTCCTGAGCATGCTGGGTATGAACAAAAAAGAAAAAAAAAGCCAGGATACTTGAACCAAAGTGATAGTACCACAGGTAGGGCACTTGCCTTGCATGCAACTGACTTGGTTTAAATATATATATATATATATATATATATATATATATATGAATCACTGTGAGATATGTTTTAGTCATAAAATGACTGAGTACCCATCCCTTCACCAGTGCTCATTCTGACTTGGGTTTGATCGCCAGCATGCCATATGTTTTTGTGAGCACCATCAAGAGTAATTCTTGACTACAGAGCCATGACTAACCCCTGTGCATGACTGGGTGTAGCCCCCAAATAAATTAAAAACCCAGGATGTCCACATATTCACCTATATAATAAATACTTAGTGAATTCCCCCCATGTGTACTAAAATAGGGTGAAGAGAAAAATAATTCTCCTGTCTTCACAGAGTATATATCTTAGTGAAACTAAATGCCAGTGTGACAGACTTCCAGCTGATCACCAAACCGACTCTTCTTTCTGGCACACATAAGCTGCACTACTTAGTTGGCCTTCTGTGTGGTTACAGAGGTGTGGCCCAGTTCTGAGGCTGGCCCCAAGGAATGTGAGTGGGCGTTATGGTTGTCATTTCAAAGCCTAACTAATAAAGCCTTTCTCATAGGATGATCTGCGATGTTTTCTATGTGTTTTCCAGATATGATCCAACATGATTTAGAAGAAGACACAAGTTAAAGTAACAGATCCTGGGTCCTTGAATGGCTGTGGAACAGATCACCTCATCACTAGTTTAGGGCCTTCATTGACTCTTTCCTTAGGATTCAGAAACATTTGCTCTGCGAAATAGAAATGAACAAAATGGAATTTTGGAGTGTGTTGTCAGTGTCATTCCTTATCCTTCTCTTACAAATAGTAAAAACATGACAGCAGTGCAAGGCGACACGTGTTTTGGTAGAGAAAATACTGGGGGACTGTGAGATTCCAGAGGAGGAAAATGGAAAAATGAAATGGAAGATCAAGCCAAGTTTCTTGGAGGTAGTGACGGATACAGTTGGTCTGAAAAAGGATGGGGATCACTTATACAAGTTGTCGGGAGGGAAAGAAGATGAAACTGGATAATAACACTCTAAGCAGCGTGAACATGCTTAGAAAGACAAGAGAGTACTGAGGTCAGTTTAAATGCTGAAGGTACTCTGTGGAAAGTCAAAGAATTAGGATTTAAAGTAAGAATGAGCGATGTACCTCAGTGACAAGACACGTGTTGTGTATGGGAGGCCCTGGGATCATCCTTGGCGCCACTGATGCTTTGTGTGGTTCCTGAAGAGCATCACAATCACAACCACCACAATAATGAAGAAGCAATAGCACATGGTCAAAACTCGATGCAGAAAATGTTACTAGACTGTCCTTGAAAGAGACTCTAAGCCAAGAGTAAGTCAGTGGTGAGTTAGACTCCATAGAGAAAAAAATGAAAAGCAATGAATAGGTTTAAAACATTGAATCAAGAGAACTTGGCAACTGATTGACCAAAAAAAAAAAAGAAAGAAAGAAAGAAAGAAAAAACACAAATAATTTCCAATTGTCTAGTTTGGGCAACTTTTTGAATCTTCTATCATTAGTTAATAAACAGGAGAAGTAGTTGTCTAAAGGTTCTTAGATTAACTAATTTTGGAGAGATTGACCGAGTGCATGGGAGACATTAAATTTTAGCAGAGGTTTGATGATGTGAGTTCAATCTTAGGAGTGAAACTTGTTGCAAACATATTTGTGACACATCAGATTTTGACAGTAATTAGAGTAGGAACAGGGAGAAAGTAAAATTGTAAGGATATGTGCTGACCCCGTTTCCATGTGCCTGACTCTATTTTGATCCCTGGTATTCCCAATCACTACTGGGATGAATCCAGTGGTTCCTGTAACTACAAAACCCATACAACACTATATACTTGGGGCTGGAGTGGTAGCGCAGCGGGTAGAGCATTTGCCTTGCACTCGGCCAACCCGGGTTCGATTCCTCCATCCATCTCAGAGAGCCCAGCAAGCAACTGAGAGTGTCCCACCCGCATGGCAGAGCCTGGCAAGCTTCCCGGGAGTATTCAATATGCCCAAAACAGTAACAAGTCTCACAATGGAGATGTTACTGGTGCCTGCTCGAGGAAATTGATGAACAACGCGAGGACAGTACTACAGTGCTACAGTACTTGGGCCCTTATATTACTTGGTTGACCAAGAATCATTGAAAGTGGCCCCAGGGCCCCTGATCAATGCTTAAGAAAACCCCTCCCTCTCCCTCTACATAGACAGTAATAACAGCAACAAAACCTGCAAAATAATTGGAGTAATAGAGAATACCAAGAAAACTGGGTCCAAGGAAAAGAGAAGAGAGTTTAAGATGGAATATGAGATGTTCTACCACATATGGGAATGGCAGGGGGAAAAAAAGGTAGAATTGGTGAAAAGAGAAGAAAACTGGAGTATCTGGTGTAAAGGAAGCTTTCCAGAAGTGGTGCAAGTCAGTCAAAATCAGAAGTCATAAATGTATGTGTGCCAGTTTCTGGGTCAGAAGAGCCAAATGCTGCCCAGAAAACAAATTTCCATGTTTCAGCTGCTTAGAAGCCATTGTCAGAGACCCACCAATTTGACTACAAAGTCTAGGAGATGGCTTGGCAAACTACTCAAAGATTTGCAAAAGCAGTGTTAGTTTAATGATCAAAAGCCTGAATTTTAGTTAGGTTCCCTGATTTGAACCTTCGTTAAGTTCTTTGTTCAATGTATGAGGCAGGGAAAATCTGTTAACCTTTCTCTCTTCTTCAAAGCTCTCATTTGTGAATAACAGTACTTTTCTAGTAGGGTGATTGCAAAGATTGAGAGTCATACATATAAACTACTTAGAAGAGAGCCTGACATGAGGTAAGTGCTAAAAAAGTAATCTTAGAAACCATAAAATAGGTCAGCTGCAGTTTAGTTCAGGTGTTGAGACACAAGCAAATTCTAGCAACAGACTTCAATCTCCCATGAGTTCTATAAATTGTCCCTGTTTTCCCTTGATTTTTTTTGAGGAGGTTAATTCCCTTTCCCAATAACAATCCTCCTTTCCCCAATCTGGTTCAAATCAGAACTAAAAAAGGATTTACCAGTGAAAAGCTAATTGTCGGTGATGAAGAGAACGGCAGCATTTGGGGGCTTTATGCTGGGCACTAATGTCTTCAACTAGTGTCACCCACACTTCTTCACCTCACTGACCCTCCAGTAGACAATATTTTCACTTCATAGTTGTTCATTGACAGAAAAAAATGCACATAAAGACTAATATGAAATCTTTGTAGATTGATGCTAGATTGCATTGATCTGAATATTTGACCATATTCCTGGCGATAGCCAAACGACTTTTACAGCACCAAGCACTGGCCTTTTCCCTGGGTCCCATTACTGCCCACAGAGGTCAGCTAAGTTTCAGTGGGAGAATGTTTATCACTTGCTGCATTAAACC